CCACAGTTTGAGGCTTGTAGGCGCAATCTTACCCTTCTCAGTTCTTTAGAAAGTGGCTAAGATTGAGGGAGGGTGTTAGACTATGTATAGCTTCTGTACCTATGTACGTATATGGTACATATTGTAACACAACCATTATATATAATGAGATAAGCCACCCCTAGAGGGTTGTGCTGGTTCCCCAAAACTTATTGTCTTACACACACTGTTGACTCTGGCAGCGGCGTTGGCGCTCGCGATGGCACGCTCACCCTCCCCTATGGCAGCGACGAGGCCGTCCTCTGGATCGGAGGACCTATCTGCATGGGCCCGCCGGCAGCGGCCAGAGCAGCAAAATTGCCGTGGCAGGCGTGGTGGCTGGCCTCGAGCCCTTAGCGAGTCCTTGGTCTGGTCTTTGCCAGCGCCGCTGGGCTTAAGCGCGGAGGAGGAGGCTCGGGTGAGCGGCGACTTCGCGTCCGGGGCGCCGTGCGGTACATCAAGGACCTCGGCATGGCACTGGAGCCTGGAGGTCGCTGACGTCCAGGAGGAGGAGGCCGGTCTGTATCCAGGTTTGTACCGGCAGTCCGGCAGACGTTCTCGGCCATGGAGGCAAACTGCAACGGCGGCATGTATGGACTGGTCATCATCGTCGAACGCCTGAACGGGGTCCGCGAGTAAGGTACGTAAGGCAGATAGCTGCCGACCAAGGTTGTTGTTAAGGGATCGAGGGCGACGTCCGTGGCGCATCTAGTGGCCTCCATCGAGCGGAGCTACCCACGGCGGCTATCACCGTGTAACCCGACACGGCGCGCCACTTCCCGGGGTCTTTGCATCCAAGTTAGTGTGCATTTATGCCGTATTAGCTGCTGCATTTGCCTCCTCGGTATTCGATCAAATCCTGGTTGAGCCGTAATGATGGTGATTACGTCGTCGTCGTTGTTGGGCTAAGAGACACTGGATTAGGCCGATTCCTAGACGTATACTCTGTCAGGCAGCTTTTGTATACTTGTTTTCGGTTTTGAGAAGTTTCAGACATTCTGCATTCTAATTCTAAATTCTCAATTCTCAATTGCTAGCTGGGATTTTTTAGGCTTTTCTGAGTGTTTTGGCAGGGATATTATAGCCAATGGGGTGATGACACATTAATTAGTGGGGATCTGGCCAGGTGCACTTTGTGGTGAGGTGGATCTTGCAATTATGGTGGCGAGCAGTTCCTGGTCAACCACACATCCAGTTTGTCGGGCGGTGCTATTCTTTGTCTGTAGCAGGTGGAGCACGCAACATGTAGAGTGATGGGATGGGATTTTTCTGATGTGACCACGTGCATGCGCCGATTGGCTCTCTGCATGCAGCGGTTTTCAGATTTCTCTTCATTCTTTATTCATTATCTTAAAAGATAATAACTCCATTGGATATCCTGAGCACGACGGGTCGCCGTTTCGACCTTCTATGGTCGCGCGCGGTGGCCTTTGTATGGTCTAAGCCGGCATGCCTGCAGCCAGTGGTTGATAGCTCACGGCCCTAGTGCTCTCCATTCCATGATAGCTCACGTCATCTCGCCGCGGCGTCGGTAAATCCGTCGATGTTCTTGATTTCGAGCTCTCTCGCGCCTTGAACCCATCCAACTCGCCAGCTGTTCTAGCTTGCGCCCGTTGAGTCGACTTCATGCCCGCCAGACCGCCGAAGCAGATGGCCTGTGGGGCTACAACTGCGAGGTCCAGCTCCAGCGATAGCATGTGTGGTGCATGATGAGCATGGCGCGCCGGATCCGCACTTTTTCATGTTCACATTGTGAAGATCCTATCATTATATACACAGGTGCCAAGCCGCCTATGGGCCGGAGGCAACAGTTCGCAGAAGTGCTTTATCACTTCATCGCGAGCACTAGTCCTGCAGGAGGCCACATTACGATGATGAAATCTAGCAATAATTATCTATATTTCTTTCATCTTGCTGCAATAGAGTCGTGCCATGACAAGAATAAATGATCCTATCAGAGATGTATGAACATGTGTTTATGTGTTTAGCAACATGCATGATGCCAATAAATTAGCTTATTTCCTACTTATTTTCCCTGTATCCACAATTTTATGTACAATAATCTGCTATATGAGATACATAAGACTAATGCAAAGACTAAACACAATTGAAATGAACACATCGTACCAACGGGCGCGGCGTGTCGCCGCGCGGGCTATGCTAGTAAACAATTATTGAATAAATACAACATAATGTGGAGAGAAGGGGGCAACCGCCCCCTGCCTGATGTCCCTATTTTGGACAGGGATTTCACTCGGTCTAATATGCAAACTCCACCAATAATGGCTACAATTGACACGAGTTTTCTTGGTGCAGAATGGGACTTATCCATGCCTAACTCTTTGTTGCACAGCTTGCAGCGTTCCTCGTGGACGACGGTGGGACTCACGGATAGAGCCTTAATCAATAACATATTTTTTTAAATGTTGTGAGGTTCTTGGTTTAAAAGATGAAAATGGCATGTTTGGGTGAGGTCCATACAACAAGTTTTCCAAAATTTTGGGTGACGTTTATGAACCATGCTGTAAAAAAGTTAAAACTCTTATAATATTTCCACTCATCTCTGTAGAAACTTTGGGTCGCATTGCACATTAAACTAATAAAGTACATCACATCTGAACTTTTTCTGCCAGATTTTGCATTCTTCTTTCTTCATCTTTGGTTCGAAAGAAGTAGACGTTGCTTCCCCTCTAGTTGCACATGCAGCCGCATCATTGCCTTTGATTCTACTAAGGAGTGCACGGACGTCTATTAAGTTTCTTTCTATCAATAAATCAATGTATTCTCCTTCCCAAAACCAAAATGAGCATCCGTCTTCCTACACACATGAATAAGCATGTTTTAAATGAGCTACCGCAACTGAACCAAAGAATGAGCTATCAAAACTAGCCGAACAAAAACATCGACTAAGTTTTTTTACCGGAGCCGGGAGCTACCGGTGACCACTAGCCAATAGCAGTGCTCCAGCTCTGACGTATCTCAATCCTTCTCTATCGTATTTGATTCCTTTTCTGGTTTTTTATATGTATTTTCTTTACCCCGAGACCCATGCATGGAAGAGACAGTACTGACACATGCATACCTTTTTCTGCACATAGTACAGTACACATTGTCTGTTTTCTCTTATACAACTCATCGCTTATAATTTCCTGTTGATAATTTAGATGGCTCATATTTTTAAAACCAAAATTTAAATTTTGAAACTTCTTATATATTTGAACTCCTGATTTCATGATCTTTAGAACAAGCTTAGTTTTGGTTCCATTTATTTCACTCAATATGTTTCAGTTATTTCAGAAGAACTATTTATTTCAGTTATTTCGAACCACTAATTTCACACGTTTGAATCCATTGATTTTCTGAAATACAATTTCAATTATTTCGATCATTGTTAAAAAAAAACAGATTTCACTCATTTCAAAAGATGGATTTATCCCCATTCAAAAAACTATTTCACTCGTTTGAAAATATATATTTAAATCAGTTCAACACAGCTGATTTCACTAAATTAAGAAACATATTTCACTCAGTTTAATGGAATGCACTAAATTAAGAAAACATATTTCACTCAGTTTGATAGAATGATTTTATCATTTCAAAAAATGATTTTACTCATTTCAAAAAATGATTTCACCCATTTCAAAAAGTGATTTTAATCATTTCAAAAAATATATTTAAAACATTTCAAAACTTTTCCGTCTGTTGATTTCACCCAGTCAACGTTTCCGTCTGCTGCTAGTGACGCCCCTCCTTGAGAGTCATCTCCGTGATCCCAACCACCATAAGCCTCTCGTGTGTGCTAGGGCACACGACCGCAATACACTAACTCCTAGACTTCCAGGTTTCTTTGACGTTTCATGCCACCATGGAGAAGGTAGAAGGGCTGCTAAAGAACCTAAAGTTGTCGGAGGCGGAGAGGAAGGGAGTGCGGATCGGAAGGGCGGCAGGGGGTAGATCCAGGGAAGTGGAGACACGGGCGTTAGGGAAGGTGTTCTTGGAGAAGCCGGTGTATGTGGAGGGGATGATCAAGTCTCTGAGTAGGGTTTGGTGTCCGCTAAAAGGGTTGAAGTGCAAGGAGATGGAAGACAATATTTTTCTGTTCACCTTTTTGCAGGTGGCGGGGAAGAGAAAGGCATTGGAAGATGGCCCGTGGATGGTGGGGAAGGAGTTGATTGTCATGGAGGATTTTGATCCAATTAAAACCGTGGAGGACTATGAATTCAAGATCATACCGATTTGGGTGAGGGTAACTAGGCTGCCTCTGGGTTATCTGAATCAAGAGAGTGGGGAAATCCTAGATGAGCAAATTGGGGAAGTGATGGAAGTGGACGTAGGGGAAGGAGGTGGGCAATCTGGAAGTTTTATCCGAGTTAAGGTCAAGCTAGACATCACCCGACCACTATTGAGAGCTATTACAGTGGACATCTCTGAAGAGAAGGAGGATATGGGGAAGATGAACATGGTCGTGAAACTGAGAAGCTGTTTAGTTTCCAGATGTTCTTACAGCAACCATGTACTCCCTCCGTTCCAAAATAGATGACTCGACTTTGTACTAACTTTAGTACGAAGTCGAGTCATCTATTTTGGAACGGAGGAAGTATGTTTATAGCTTAGTATCCTAGAGATTCCATCTCATGCATGTTTAGTCGTGAGGTCGGGTGCCGGCTCTGTTGGTTTGGTTCCCCCTTGGAAGCCGGCGGCCGGTGGTGGAGGCCAAGTCATGTTCGTTCCCCGCTCTCTGTTTTGTGGCTCCATGTCTGGCCGCTCTGTGGGCTGCTGGGCGGCAGACGGCGCCCCTCCGGCAGTGGCTGAGGGGAGATAGTGATCTCTCCTCCGGTTGGTGGCTTTATAAATTTGATGAAGTTGGGATGTTATGCTTTTCTCTGAAACAGATATGTCTTGCTCTGGTAAACATGGATTTGTGACCATCCATAGCTTGTGCCTTGTAGCAGCTCAGCTCGAAGCTTGTTCAATCATCAGAAATGGCAACGGGGGCTAGCGGAGGGCAGCCGAGCGTTCTGAGCACATTACCCAAGGATTTGCCGCTAGATTTTCTAAAGACTATCACCGATCAGTTCTCACAGAGCGTATACTCGGTACAGGCGCATTTGGAACTGTTTATATGGTAATATGGTCGTGCGTGCCTTCACATTTTCGTGCCAATTAGATGCCAACATTTGCTGAAAACGTGTTTTTTGAGCTTGAACAGGGGATTGCGCCAGACGGGCAAAAAATTGCGGTGAAGAAACTTGCCGAAAATACACCAATCGCGCGTGACAAAGTATTTACTAACGAGGTTCATAATATTATGGCTCTGCAACTGCATCATGAAAATGTAGTAAAGTTGGTCGGCTACTGCCATGAAGCCCAGAAGAAAGTGGTGCAGAACAATGGAAGATATATTGTTGCAGACATTGTTGAAAGTTTATTCTGCTACGAGTACTTGCCGCACGGGAACCTTCAGAAGAATCTTTTGGGTATATATATATTTTCCATTTTATTTTAAAACTGTATTTGAGTATCTCCATATTCTATTAAGTTGGGCATCTGCATATTCTATTAAGTTTTCAACGACAAGAAAAGGCAGTAACATTCAGTTTATCCAATGGAAATGTTATTTGCATTCTGAGAAATAAGTATTGCTGGAAGTTATTATCTGTGAGTACTTATATTATGCAATGTTTCACTTGTTTAGAGGTATCTAATGTAAAATATGTAATGGACTGGGACACACGCTTCAAAATCATCAAGGGAATCTGCCAAGGTTTGGCCTTCCTACACAACACTAACATTGTTCATATGGATCTTAAACATGAGAATATATTGCTGGATGATAAGATGACCCCGAAAATTGCGGATTTCGGTCTCTCGAGGCTCTTCGGTCAAGAACAAACACGGATGAGAATACAAAATGTTGTTGGATCATAGTAAGTGAAACATCAAATCCGATAACATTTTGTTCCGTCATTACGAAGTGAAGTGCATTTTGTTCTCTCTGGCAATACTTACTAAAATCTTTGTTGTCAGTGGATACATAGCTCCAGAATATCTATACAAAGGTGAGACTCCACCAAGTCAGACATATATAGTTTGGGCCTATTAATCTTGGAGACCACCACAGTTGAGAAAATTTGTTCCAACAACGAGCCATCTGCGACGCAATTTATAAAAAGTGTAAGAGAAATTATTACTTGATTCTTGAAAGACTGTGGTATATATATATAGAAGCTTATGATACAATTGGTTTATATTATCCCCAAGGATCATAATTCTGATTCTGTACATATGTACGTGATATCTGGACGGATGAGCACATAGTGTCTCAGTGCTCACATCTTGATGGGGATCGCCTTCAGCAGATAAAAGTATGCATCAAAATTGGACTAGAATGTGTGGAGATCGATCGGCAGAAGAGACCTTCCATAGAAGAGATTGTCGATAGGCTCAACGGACTACGGTCAACTGAAAGTTGAATGCCATATGCGGCATGAAATAAACGGGGGGCACACAATGGCTTTCTATTGTTATGATTTTGTTAGCCCCACCTCGATATAACATTGCCCAATGGCCCAAGTCCGAGTTCATTGTTGTAATGATTTTGTTTTATAAGAATGCAGAGGAAAAGTTTTATTCCTTTTTCTCTATAAGGACAATCAATTCTGTCAGAACCATTTAGTTGATGTCCCTAAAAAATCATTTAATTCGTTCTGCATTTCAGCTGGTGGTTACATACGTACACTATATATGATTCAGGTCTTCAGTTTCCACGGAGCATGAAACTTCGGTCTTTTCAGGAGAGATGTGAAAGATGGAAGAACATGCTTCATTGTTGCTACTATGATTTAGGAATAATTCTCACTGATGTGCGTCATTGTGGATCATGTTAAATTTTATTTTTGGTGGTACTTAACAACTACTCTCTAAATACACTTTCTTTTACCTGCAACTTAATTTGATATAGTTTGATGACATATAATTCACATTTTGTTACCCAGGTTAGGGCCCCTGTTCTAGGGGTAACACCCTACTCTTGGTAGATGTTTCTCTCTTGTGTGAACGATGTGGCTACAATATGATGTCCGAGTGACCTCGTAGATCTCGGTAATTCTAATGACCTTTTTTAGATTCTGTTTTAACTTGGGATTATATAGGGGTGTCGAAGTAGAGAAAACAGTGGTATTATGGCCACAACTTGGTAATGGCGTAGATAAGTTGGCCGTTACCAGGGTCTAGATGATTTCATGGTGTAGCTGTTTTTCTTTATGTTGTTGGTAACATCAATCTTTAATGCCAGTTCAGTCGGATGAATGTCGTGGTGCGATCTAGGAAGGTGAGCGAAGAAGAATAGGTGAATAGTGTCTATTGGGCCATATCCTAGTCATGGGCCTACCCGGGGGATCTCACGATCATACATCAATCCTAAATAGGAAAAGGAGACATTCTTAAGCATTGGTGCCCAATTTCTCTATATGAACTCTGAAGGATCATATTAGTAATATATATTGCCACTTCAGCATTGGCGCCCAATAAATCACTCATTCTTCAATATTAGTACCACTGACATCTTAGCTAAGCAACTCTTTGTGCACATGTTGTCTACATTATCTAACATGGCGTTTGTTGGGGCTTATGAGATGGTCCCTTCATATTGTTTCTGAAAAATGAAATCATTGCCTCTTTACAAAATCAACCTTGCAAATAACTTTAATATGTCTGCTTGGAAAGTAATATTGAGGTACTAAAGTTTGATTCTGCAATTTTGCATGCGCGCGTGCGTTTGATGATGCTTGGACAATGAATCAAACCCAATTGGGTACATTGTGGTTTTATGGCTACACTTCTAACAATGGTCTACAGCCGAATCTCACAATAATGTCATATCAACCTTTCCGGTGTATTTAAGCTTGTGAGACGTGTACGGGGACCAAACTATTCTAATATAATTGTGGTGCCAACTCTGATTTAATTAACAATATATGTTGAAACCAACCAGCTGCATGCCAAGCTGGTAAATTATATTAATTGGACCAGCTCCCATGCCATACTCATGCAATTTGTGGCTACAGATAGTCCACTATATAAAGATCACAATGTAGCTACATGCATCGAAAACATAAGGGTTGTATATTTCATAGTTAGTACACAACAGTTCACTCTAGTGGGTCTCCAACCACTACATCATGAGATTGCATAAACTATATGTACATCAATCCTAAATAGGAAGAGGAGGCATCGAGAAATGAGGAAAAACCACATGGTTAAGAACCAGAACGATGGATGTTGAATGCGCTACGTTTAGGTGCTGTCTTAGAACCAGGGAAAATTGAGAAACCACTATGTGGCAAAGAAGACAAAAATTTGAGTACAAAGGACATTTTCATTTTGCACATGTATATTGCATGGCCTCGACAATATTGATCATTGCCTCTCAAAACTCTAGTACAACTCAATAGAAGCGACCGCAATTACAAAGGAGTCGGGACTCCACCACTGATACAATTGTTTCAGCTTGACTGAGTTTTAAAAGGTTTCTAGATACCTTTTCGAGTCGCCATCGATATATATGGAAAGGCTTAATCGAGAATATATTTTCACAAAATTTGTTATGTTCTGAGTTTAACAGAGATGAAAATGACTTGTTTGGGTGACATCCATACAACAAGTTATCCAAGCGGCGACGTTTATGAACCTGATGTAAATTCTTTTACACTCTTATAATTTTTCTACTCACTGTAGAAACTTTGGATCACATTGCATACCAAACTAATAAACTACATAACATCTGGACTTTTTTCTGCCAGATTTTTCCAAGACACTAGAATTAATCAACACCACAACACTTGATTCTTGAAGTCACAAATCTACCATGCAATTTTATTTCCCTTCCTTAATTTCAACTATCTGAACTCTGAAGTTCGTTTTCTTCTTGTTTCAACAATCTATTCTGCCATGCCTCCTGAACACACGCGCACATTCAGACACAAACTGCTGCAGCCAGAGTGAGTCACTCACTCACTGGTCATGTGAATCATCAGCTCCTCCTTTGGCGTCCGGGTAATATCCATCGGTCTTCTTGTAGGTGTACCAGCTGGCAATGAGCAGGTAGACGACAAAGTTGAGGAGGCTGAGCGCGGTGAGCAGCCAGGAGAAGTAGTCGAGGTGGCCGACGTTGAGGTTGTGGGGATCCACCCTGGCTTGCCTCCCCTAATGGTGACCTTGGCCACCACCGTGACGAGCAGTGTGCTGAGGTAGTTCCCGAGTGCGACGGTGGTGAGCGAGAGCGTGGAGCACATGTGTTAGAGCATAATTTTCCCTGGATAGTTTTGGTGATTGATGACAATACTTTTACGGACTAATCATGTGCATTAAGCTTTTCAGGTTTTCTAATATAAGGGCACTAAAACGATTGTTTCCCCTCAAGGACTTCTCTGAAGACGGTTTTGTTTTTTTTCGTTTCTTTTCGGTGGTATTGAGTCGTAGGAACAACTGTACTATCAAGAGGGGGTCCGTATTGGAACTGTTTATATGGTAATATGGCCATGCATGCCTTCACATTTTCGTGCCAATAAGATGCCAATATTTGCTGAAAAGGTATTTTTGAGCTTGAACAGGGGATTGCGCCAGACGGGCAAACAATTGCGGTGAAGAAACTTGCCGAAAATACACCAATCACGTGTGACAAAGTATTCACTAACGAGGTTCAGAGTATTATGGCTCTGCAACTGCATCATGAAAATGTAGTAAAGTTGGAGGGCTACTGCCATGAAGCCCAAAAGAAAGTGGTGCAGAACAATGGAAGATATATTGTTGCAGACATTGTTGAAAGTTTACTCTGCTACGAGTACTTGCCGCAGGGGAACCTTCAGAAGAATCTTTTTGGTATATAATTATTTCCATTTTATGTTTTAACTGTATTTAAGTCTCTGAAAAAAATACTATGAATTTGTGTTTGGTTGTCTGCATATTCTATTAAGATTTTGATGCTATACATTGACAAGAAAAGACAGTAACATTATGTTTATCCAAAGGAAATGTTGCCATACAAACAGGTTTTCTTGTACTGGCATTCTGAGAAACAAGAACTGCTGGAAGTTATTATCTTTGAGTACTTACATTATTCAATGTTTCACCTCTTCAGAAGTATCCAATGATGGAATGGACTGGGACACACGCTTCAAAATCATCAAGGGGATCTACCAAGGTTTAGCCTTCCTACACAGCATTAACATTGTCCATATGGATCTTAAACCTGAGAACATATTGCTGGATGATAAGATGATCCCGAAAATTGCGGATTTCGGTCTCTCGAGACTCTTCGGCCAAGAACAAACACGGATGAAAACACAAAATGTTGTTGGATCGTAGTAAGTCAGACATCAAATGCGATAGCATTTTGTTCAGTCATTTATGAAGTGAACTGCATTTTATTCTCTCCAGCAATACTTACTAAAATCTTTGTTGTCAGTGGATACATAGCTCCAGAATATCTCTACTATTAAAGGAGAATCGAACGTCGTGATGGTTCGACCTCCTTCGATGCCCCCTCCTCGCTAGCTTTCCCACCCACGTCCTCCTAGCGATTTTTTTTCAAACCCTCCGAAAACCAGAGGTAAACCTCCTCTCATACATCGATCCGGCACCCAACTCGCGAATTAGAAAAACCACACGTCACCCACGTTCTTTCCCGATCTGGAAGACTATCCCACGTCCCTCAGACAGCACGAAAGAAACCAAAGCTCCTCGCGATCGCCCGACGCGCCCCGATGGCCCGACGCGCCCTCCTGCCTCCTGATGTTGCTCCGCATCGACGACGCCACACCACGATTCGCACCGGCACCTCACCAGCCGTGCCCTCCCCCCAGCCTCCTGTCCATGCGCCCCAGCGATGCCATCCTGCGCACTACCGCTTCTCTGGGCTCCCAAATCCGGGGCTCGCCGCAATTCCCGAGGCTTCCGGTGGTGAGCCGTATGGAGGAGGAGCCGGCGGCAGGGAAGGGAACGGTCATAGCGTCGACTACACGTCAGAAGACAAGCACGGAGGACTACGTCGTGCAGTCCATGCTCGGCTGGGGGCCCCTCTCTCCATCATTTTCCTCATCTACGAGACCGCCCACTTTGTACGTGCTAACCCATTGTCTCGAATTCTCTTATTAAGTCATTCTATTAGTTCTATGATTCGTGATGATATGTAGGAAAATATCGATCTGGGTGTAGCAGTTTCCCTGCCCACCAGATGCTTGCTCTTTTTCCTTGGAGCATAAGAAGAAAAATTATTTCATCTATTGTAATAATTACTGTTCGATCCGTCAATTCTATCCTCCTGCAAGCGATTTTTATTTTATTTTACCACTGTTCTGGAGAGGTTCAGCTGCCTTTGTCTGGTGTTTCTAAATATTTTAGTTGTATATATACGTGCAGAGGTATGTGCTTCTGAAGGTGGGAAGATCCAAGACAAAGAAAGAGGGAGGGAGACAGGCAACATGTAACATGGAGATGACCCAGCCATGCTGAATCCGCTAGACGCCGAACCTACCATGGCCATGTCCCCGAGGTGAGCCCTGATGCTCTTTGATGACCGCGTTGTGCCCACGTTGTTCAGGGAGGAGCAGTACATGGCTGGCATCCTCAATGGGAGCCATGTGTGCATGTTTTTTTAGTTTCTTCCTGATAACTTGCTGACCATGATGAAAAGTACACCGAGTCGCCGATTTTGTCGGTGAATTGTTGGCCTCAGTGTAGCTCCTTCAATCATATATATCGCCTCATATTTCTTTGTATTTATGCCAGGTAAATGCCAAACCAGTCAGCTACCTTCTGGATATCATGTTTTGGGTAGGTTTCCTATATATAAATTTATTGAAGTATCAATTACTTCATGAGCTACTATTTCTACTACCATGTTTTGCAATAGCATAGGATATTTCTGTGGTGCGCAAGTAGGATATTATTCACCAGTTAGCAACTGTGCTTTGGTATAACTCAGGTGTCTCAATGAATGATTTAATTGATTATCCAATATTTATTTAGTATATGGTCATGTTGTTGGCAAAGAAGATGCATAATTCTTTTGGGAGGAAAAAATGACATGCATGCTACTCCCTCCGTTCCTAAATATAAGCCTTTGGAGAGATTCCACTATAAACCACATACAGAGCAAAATGAGTGAATCTACACTTCAAAATGCATCTATATACATCAATATGTGGTTCATAGTGCAATCTCTACGAAGACTTATATTTAGAAACGGAGGGAGTAGATGTTAACAAATTAGCATAGGTCATCTACATTCTATGTTGCGTCCGGCTGACGGATGTGCAACTTCTGATTATCTGAATACTAGAATAATAATTCTTATGTAGCAGCAACACATGATGTATACATTGAGCCATGCTGAAAACGAGATGCTTAAATAATTGCACATTTGATTTGTAAAATAAAAAAATTAACACCGAAGATAGCATAATAGAAGCATCTTTCAGTTATTTAACCCATAGCTGTACTATTTTTAGAAGAAGAGGCTGAAGCTGATGGTCCAGCAAAGAAGTTTAGAGGTGGAGACCAAAACTAGGGCCTGATTTTGTTGAGTGATATTCGTCACATATAACTAAGTATAATCTCTATTAGACAATCTTCTTGCGAACCAAAAACATAGGTGCATGTTATTTTCTTATATTTGATGTACATGATGCAAGGAAACTGTTAGAAGGGATAGAGAGAGAGATTGGCGGAGTATGATGGATGTTGTATTGAGCCTCACAGATGGCTTATATAGAGTAGAAGGCTTGGAGGGCAAGAAGCCTCTCCTAGAGATAAAGCAGGAGATAATTACAAATCATAGTCTACCATATACAGAGATATACCTATATACTCTAACATCCCCCAGCAGTCGTAGCGGTAGTGTCATGCAGACAACAGGAGCGTCGCGGACGGTCAAACTGGAGATAAAAGCAGCCGACGAGCTGACATCCCCCCGCAGTCGCAGCGGGAGCGTCATGGACGATGTGGTGGCCCTTTGTGCATTAACTATAGAGGAAGCCGACGAATTGCTCAAGCGAGGTGGTGGCCCTTTGTGCCGTTGTCGAGGTAGCCGAGAGCGTGGGTGGTGTAGCCATGGTCGAGGTACTCATGCGAAGAACGCCCTGATCGATTGTCGAGTTTGGTGGCAGGTGTTGTGGAAGTCTCCGTGGAGCCACAGGCGCAAGGAGGCGCCGAGTTAGTTATGGGTGCAATGGTATCGAAGTAGTGGTGCGCCGGGAAGAAGACGTTGTTGACGAGGCGTCGCACCGGGTTTGGCAAGCCTGGGGACACATCATGGACGAAGGCACGCGTCGATGTTGCCAGCACCGGGCATGCGTAGACGCACGATGTCGATGTTGACGATGCGCCGCTCCAGACTTGTCGGGCCTGGGAATACACTGGGGATGATAGCACACGTCGGTGTTGTCAGCACCAGGCATGCGAAGATCGGGACTAAACCATGTCGGAGGAGTTAGAGGAGCCAGCAAAGAATTACTCAACAACGGTTGCGGCGCCAATCAGTGAGGGGCCGATGTTGCCGACGGTGGTCGGAGTAGACGAAGTGATCGGGGAACATGACGATGACGTTGGCGATGAGCTGGTGCTGGACGAAGACAAAGGGGGTGGACGCGCGCCGTGGTGCTACGGCTTGAAGGGGTGATGCAGCAGCAACTCGCGGGTCGGTGATAACGGCGAGAAGACCTCGGGGTGGCGGCATGGACCGTGAGCCGTGGCACTACGTCCCGAAGGGGCGGTGCAATGGCGGTGTGCTGGTCAGTGCAGCCGTGAGGACGGCCTCGGGTAGTGGCCGGGACCGCGTGCCACAGTGCAATGGCCCAAAAAAGAAAATACCGGGCAAGCAACCGGCGGAGAGAAAACCGATCAAGAGATCGGAAAAACTCACCAGGGCAGCCATTCACGGATCAACGGACGAACCCTGCTATGGGTCATGCGCCCCACGGAAGAGATCATGATGATCGACCTTCCCAGGGGTGGCGCGGTGCGGAAGCGTGCGGCGGTTAGGTCTAGGAACTTGCGGCTGATACCATGTTAGAAGAGATAGAGAGGAGAATGGCGGAATATGATGGATGTTGTATTGAGCCTCTCGGGCAGTTCATATAGAGTACACGGCTTAGTGGGCAAGAAGCCTTTTCTAGAGATAAGGCAGGAAATGATTACAAATCATAATCTACCATATACAGATGTATGCCTATAATCTAACAGAAACCATGCATTTAGAAGTCAATAACCGAATTTTGTTACTCTTGAGATGATTGCAATAAGTAAGCATCTGGTAGATGAGTAAGAGTAACAATTATGGGAATAACCTACTGATTATATATCAGGAACCCAACATGCTTTCCATCTTTTGTTCATCATGGTCACCGCTTCCAAAAAGTAGTGACGGATGTTGTCGCCAGATGTCCAACCCTTCATTATCCATGTTGTAACCCGAGCTGCTTAGTGCGCGACCATCATATAAAACGATTGCAACCCTGGTCACCCTTTTGTTACCAATGTTGTATGTTGCTATTTTTCAGACTCCTACTTCATTAATCGTATCAATACGAGTATATGACAGGCTTAATGCTCGGTCATGTGTATCCTTTTGATTTCGAGGCATGATGGCACATGAAAAAGAAAGAGCCATGATGGAGATGTGGCAGGGCTTATGAGGAGATGACACACAATGCGAGCCATGGTGGAACAAAAACAGCAATACGGGTTGGGCCTCCGGTTAGTAGGTTAGTCCCAAAAATGATATAAATGTGTAAAATAAAGCCCATAAACATCCAAAAGGGTAACATAATAGTATGGAACAATCAAAAATTATAGATACGTTGGAGACGTATCACACCACAGAGGCCAGATCGTGTCCCACTACTTTCACGAACACAAACCCACTCACGCACTACCTAGACCACGTACAGGCGCGGTGACCATGCACATGCGCACTCACACTATGTATGATAACATCTCCATCAAGTTAGACATATACAGCTTGGGCCTATTAATTTTGGAGACCACCACAGTTGAGAAAAATTGTTCCAACAACGAACCATCCACAACGCAATTTATAAAAGGTGTAAGAGAAATTATTACTTGATTCTTGAAAGAGTGGAGTATATATATAGAATAGAATAGAAGCTTATGATACAATTGGTTTATATTATCTCTTCTGATTCTGTACATAGGTACGTGATAACTGGACGGATGAGCACATAGTGTTAGACCTAGCCATGGGAAGCCCGGCCTGACGCTGCCCCCGCGCCGGACTCAGGCCTAGATTTTGAGCCCGAAGGTCAGGCCGGGCCGGGCCCATCGTTTTCACGTTTTTCTAAAGGTCG